CGGCCCGCGTCCCCCGGCTGCCGCGTCCCCGGCGGCCCGACCGGCCCTCGCCTCGTGGGAGCCCGGGGGCTGCTCGATAGCGTGGGGCGAGGCCGACGCTCGCGGGCCGGGCCTGGGGCGGCGGCCTGCGGGGCTTCCGACGTGGCGGCCCGAACCGCGGTCCGCTCCGGGCCGGGAGGCGACGGCAGGCACCGCCGCTCGGGCCGTCTCTGCCTGGCCTGTGGACGCGGTGGTTTGTGGTCTCGTTTTGTTCTGGTTTGTTTTGCTTAACCGAGAGGGGCTTCTCGCTGGGTCGCCAGGTTGGTCTGGAGCTCCTGGGCTTAAGCGGCCCTCCCGCCTCGCCGGGGCTACAGGCTGAGCCCCCGCGCCCGGCTAATTCGTTATTGTTATTGTTGTTGTTGTAGAGACGGGGTCTGGCCGGGTTCCCTGGGTTCATCTTGGACTCCTGGCCTAAAGCCGTCCTCCCGCCTTGGCCTCCCAGAGTGCCGGGACTACCGCTTGCCCAGCCCTACGAACGTTTTAACATCGGTGTGCTCATCCAGGAAGTTCCAGGCCAAGCCTGGTGGGGGGTCGCCTCCTGCTTCTGAACCCAGCCCCCCTGTGTTTCGGTGTTGATGCCGGAGCCCCCGGGCGGATCTGACACTGCTGGTAACCCCGCCTCCTGTTTTTCTGTTTAACCTAAGTTAAAGCTGCCGTCAAGGAGACCCGGCCATGGAAAGCAAACCTCTGGTGCTGTCGAAACAGAAGACCGAGGTGGTGTGCGGGGTCCCCACGCAGGTGGTGTGCACAGCCTTCAGCAGTCACATCCTGGTGGTGGTGACCCAGTTCGGGAAGATGGGGACCCTGGTCTCCCTGGAGCCTAGCAGCGTGGCCGGCGACCTCAGCAGACCGGTGCTCACCACAAAAGTGCTCCTTGGGCAGGATGAGGTAAAGTGGTCAGGAAGGGACCCCCAGGGAGGGGATGCCCACCCGTGGCTGTGATGTGTCAGTGAGAACACAGAGCATCCGGTGGGCAAGCCTAGACAGCGTTTACTGGGCCTCTGTGCATCTGCGGGGATCCTATTTGCCTTCGGCAGGGGCTCTTCCCAGCCCTCCTGCATTTGATTTTGTGTGTGGCCCCCTCCTCAGTTTGACCCTGTCCTGATACGTTATGTTAACGAGTGACTGCCCTGGCTCTGTTCTGGAAAGATCATCCGTGCGATCCCCCTGCAGCTTCTCTCGTGAGTCCTTTCAGGTTAGAGATAGCCAGGAGAGCTGGAAGGCAGAAGGCACGTAGATCAATGTGGTGGTCCCTCTTCAGCAGTCTGTGACGGAATGTTCTGAGTGCTTATTAGACTCTGAGTCGCCGTCGCATTGACCCCACGTGGGGTGATGAGATGGTAGTGGGGGCAGCAGTCTGGGTTCCTGAGGGCTGCTTGATGAAAGCATTAAGAAACGCACTAATGGCCAGGTGTGGTGCCTCAAGCCTGTAATCCCAGCACTCTGGGAGGCCGAGGTGAGGGGATTACTTGAGCCCACAGGTTCAAGACCAGCCTGGGCAACTTGATGACACCTCGTCTCTACAATAAATCCAAAAAAATTAGCCGGGCGTGGTCGCGCTTGCCTGTACTTCTGGCTACTTGGAAGAGTGAGGCAGAAGGATCACGTGAGCCCAGCTGGGGTGGCCGTGAGCGTGCCACCGCACTCCAGCTTGGGTGATGGAGTGAGACTCCAACTCAAAAACAAAAAATGAAAAAGAAAAGCTCTAGTGTTCTTGCAGTTACAGTGGTTTCCTCCCTTCCCTTCACCAGCCCCTCATCCATGTCTTTGCGAAGAACCTGGTAGCGTTTGTGTCTCAAGAAGCTGGAAACAGAGCGGTCCTGCTAGCCATGGCCATGAAGGACAAGAGTGTGGAGGGGGTAAAGGCCTTGAAGGAGGTGATCCGGGTGTGCCAGGTGTGGTGATGTGGAGTCAGCAGGACCATGGGAAAACTCGGATGCCCACTTGTGCCTCGAGGACCCTCCTTCCCTCACAGTTGGGAGGAACTTTCTCTGGCTCAAGCCCTTGAAGTCAGAACAAACATTCCTGTCTCAGGCAGACTTGCTTTTGGCTTACCAGCATCACCTGTGGATGGAGGACAGGGTGGATATGTCTGGGTGTTGTAACTGGTTCTCACTGGATCCAGATCGTGCTTCCATTTGAGAATCGAGGAAGTCAGCAGGCATAGCCTGTGCCCTCCACGTGCAGCCTTGGTCGGAGGAGAAAACTTCCTTTTTATTAAAAGTAAACGTGTGTCCCAGAAAACTTTGCCTCCTTAAAAGTACTGAGAAGCATCAGCACAGCACATGTTCACTTAACGTTCTTTTGTGGGAGGAAAACTTGCTTGGCAGAGAGATGTAGGGGAACGGGGACCACGGGCCTGAGGCGATCCCAGGTGTGGGCTTGTGCACATTGTCCTGCCCCCTCTCCTGGCCCTCTCCCTGGGCATGCTCGAGAGCTGGCACCAGCTGCTTCTACTCAGCGGACGTTGTTCCCACTGCGCACCAGTTGCTGTGCTGGGTGGGGCTGAGCGTGGAGCCCAGCCCCGGGAGCCCCGCCCCGGGAGCCCCGCCCCAGGAGCCCCTGAATCCTGAATGGTGGGGAAGGACGTTTCTGGCAAAGGAAAAGCATGTACAAAGGTCAGAAGGTGTAAGAAGCACAGCCAGGATAGGACCTTGTCGGGGATCGCTGAGGTGAGACAACAGGTGGGCAGCATGCAGCCTCCACAGCGTGGGTGCAGAAGCCTCAGGACACTCCTGAGCTCAGTGAGGAGCGATATTGGTGGGGACTGGCTTTAGGGTGGCATGTATGCTCTGGCGCGTGGTATCCCGGGTCCACCGGGGTGCTACCTATGCCTCCCTCAGCCACAGCAAAGGAAACAGAGAGTTGAGAGTCAGAAAGATGCCAGAAGGTCAAGTCTTGGTACCGTTTCACTCTTTTCCAGTCTCATGAGAAAACAGGTAGCTGGAGCGTTAAGTCGAGTGACAGGTTTTGTTTTGTTTTGTTTAAGAGTCAGGGTCTCTGAAGCCCAGACTGGAGTGCAGGGGTATGATCACAGCTCACTGCAGCCTTGGCCTCCAGGGCTCAGGTGATCCTCCCACTTCAGCCTCCCAAGTAGCTGGGACTACAGGGACCATGCCTGGCTAATGGTTTTTGGTTTTTGTCTTTTTGTAGAGTTGGGGTCTCACTATGTTGCCCAGGCTAGTCTTGAACTCTTGGGCTCAAGAGATCCTCCTACTTTGGCCTCCCTATGTGTGTGAGCCACCATTCCTAGCCTGAGTCAAGTGACCAGGGTCTCGAAGCAGAAACCAGGTAGGATTCCAGGATGGAGTGAGCTCCAGCATCCCTTTTGGGAGTCGAGAATTTGCTTACTTAGGTACATGCACAGAAGCGCCTCAAGGGCATCCCTGTGTCCATATAGTTAGAGGGGATGCTTTTTGTCTCTTAATCTTAGAAGCCCTCTTCTAAGACAGGTGGCAGGAAGGACTATTTCAAACCACCGATCCATTTGAAAAGAGGGTGTTTGCTGAAGACAGGACTGAAGAAAACTGTCTTCAAAAGCTCGTTCTTCAGTAAGTTGAGTGCCTGCTGTATGCCCAGCACCAGAGTACCCACCACGCGGGTCACCTTCAGCCATAGCCTTTGCCTTTGCATATCTTGTGTCCTCCAAGGGACCATCGGGCCAGCTGTCATCACAGACTGAAAATGCCCAAGGCAACCTCAGCACCAGGAGAGGCCAGCTGCCGGGGCTCCTGTGGGATCGGCGTGCCACGGGGACACGAGGGCGCTTGGAGGCAAGCCCAGCCCTGCAGACAAGACTCTGGCCAGCTTTGGCTCAAGGACTCCCAGATAGGGTTGCCCCCGTTCCCAGACCAGGGCTTCCACCTGCCTCCTCCTGCCTTGCAGCCTGGCACCTGTAACCTCCCCGGCTCCTCCTTGCACCCCTCCCACGGTAGCTCCCCTCACGGGGTCCAATATCAGATCCCACTGGATCAGCCTCTTAGAGGACCAAGCCCACAGGCCACAGAGGGATCAGTGGAAGAAGGGGAAAGGCTGTCCACGCACAGTGAAGCCCTTGCAGGTGGCTCACGTGTCAGGTCAGATGCAGGGAGTCTGTCACTGCCATAGTGAGAGGTCCTGTGGGATTCACAGACTTGATCTAGAAGCCAGGGTGTGGCATCAGCAGATGAATATCTCAGAACCAGCACTCAGGCAGGAGTCTCTTCCTTAAGTATTAGCCTGTAATTATTCACACTTGCCATCTAAAAATCAGATGTTTTGCCAGGCACAGTCGCCCACGCCTGTAATTCCAGCACTTTGTTACACTCAAATTACTTTGAGCCCAAGAGTTGGGACCAGCCTGGGCAACATAGTGAGACTCTGTCAAAACCAAAAAAACCCCAACAAAATCCCAAATATATATTATGTATTTAATGATCCCATATATTATTTATATAGATAGATATGGATATCTCAAATGTTTTTGTGTGAGGAGCTGTGGCCTCACTCTAAATTTAACCAATGGGAAAAAAGTGTAGATGGGGCTTAAATTAGAGTCCAAATTCAGGTCCATCTGTTTTCTGATTTGGTCCCTAAACAGGTAATGATAGAATTAGCTCACAGCCTAGCACCGGGGCCAGGCTGTGGGATCGCCCTTCGCACAAGTGGAGACTGTTTAATCCTCAGCACAGCCCAGTGAGGTACGTCTGACCATCTGTATTTTCCAGCCAAGGAAACAGGCGCAAAGAGGCCACACAGCTGCTCCTGAGTGTCCAAGCTGGGATTGGCACCCCCATGCCTCGGTCACCAGCTCCTCTGTGATCTGCATGGGTTTCCCTTCTGCACTGCAGCTCTGCGTCAAGGAAACCATCCTCACAGGGCCAAGGTCAGTTTGCCCTGAGGTTCTGGCTGGCCTGACGCAGTCTGCTCTAGGACCTCTTGAGGGCCAGGCCACCTGATGTCCTTGTGACCACCTTAATGGGCAGATAGAAGTGGCAGCCAACCGGGCTCGGTGGCTCAGCCTGTAATCCCGCACCTTTGGGAAGCTGAGGTGAGTGGATTGCCTGAGCCCGTGGGTTCGAGACCCGCCTGGGCAACTTGGCGAGACCTCATCTCTACAATAAAGCAAAAATGAGCCGGGCGTGGTAGCACGTGCCTGTAGTTCCAGCTACTTGGAAGGCTGAGGCGGAAGGATCACTGGAGCCCAGCAGGTCGAGGCTGCAGTGGTCAGGAGCGGCCACTGCACTCCAGTCTGGGTGACCAAGTGAGCTCCAACTCAAAAAAAAAAAGAAGTGGCAGCCCAAATGTACACACAGCTTAGCCCCTGTGACTTACAGGGTCCCGTGGCCTAGCCCAAAGGGAGTGCTGAAGCTCAGTGAAACTGAGCTCCCTGGTGACCTGAAGTAGCTTATTACAGCTGCCCAGAGATGTCAGGCTGCAACTGAGCACTTCTGCCATCTCCACCAGCACCTTTGGGCTGCTCTGCCTGCCAAATCAGGTAGACCCACATGAAAGGCCCTTGGCTTGCTGGGCACTCCACCCCCAGCCACTGAGCTCAGGTGGGCCGGGCTCCCTCAGAGAGATAGGACTGATTGCTGTGTGCACACTACTCCTGAAAGTGGAACGGCACTCACCCAGCAACCACACAGTCATTGCAACCTCCCATGATGTGTGGCCCAGTGTCAATGCTGAACGAGGGGCTGGTGCCCAGCCCCTGCAGCAGATACAGCCGACAAGGTTCCCTCTCCAAGGCAATGCCCTCACACCAGTACAGCATGGCATCCTGCACTTTTTCTGCTGAGTGGCAGGTGGGCCTCCCAGAGTGTCCCCCCTCCCTTGAGTGCACATGGGGCCCTGTTCTGGAGCAGAGCCCGGGGCACGGGGGCACTGCCATTCAAAGCAGCTTCCCCAGGGGATAAACAGAGCCTGGACTCCCCGACCCAGTTACAGCAAATGATTGCGGAGAGCATGGCACACGGGCACCCGCGGGGAGCACTGTTGGCCGCACTGTTGTCTTGAGCGCCTGGAAGTGACACGAAATCAGGATGGGGGTCCGTAGGAAGGAGGTCTCTGAGAGACCGGCGACGTGGGAAGTGGCTACAGAGGGCCCCATGGCTTGGCTTTCAGTTTGGCATCGCTTCGCCTGGGGAGAAGGGCCACGTTTGGCGCAAGGGCTCATGAGCTCCAGAGAGATCGGGGCGTGAGGGCCTGGGCAAGTTGCAGACGTGTCAGGAATAAGGCCAAGTCTGGGACGTCCGTGAGGATTGTGCTTTCGGGGCTCCACTGCCCAGGTGGCACAGGCACAGCCAGGCATGGGACCGTGTCAAGTGTGAGGATAGCGCTAGGCAGGCTTGTGCAGCTTGGCTTATGGCGTGTGAGCATCTCAGGAGTCCCCCACGGTGGGCTGTTTGGAGCCATGAGCCTCTCACCCATGAAGGTGTGTAAGGACAACCCCGAAAAGAGCGAGAGCAGCTGCCCCTGGCTGGGCACAGGACAAGGAAGAAGGAGAGAGACAGAGAAGAGGAGGAAAGACAAGTCTCTGAGAAAAGAAACGCAGCAATGCCCGCCCTCAGCAGAATTTCACAGACTCCACAGTCAGGGCTCAGACACGCACCTGCTCTGCCTGTGCATCTCCAACCCTGCAACCACCCAGAAGGAAAAGGGCCATTGAGGCCACAGCACTGATGGGAAGACTGAGCCCAGAGCTGCACAGGACTGAAGTGGGACAGGCAGGCCTTCCAGCCACAGCACCCCCACCTGCTAGTGGCCTGCACTTCCCAGCCTCAACGTCCTCCTTGTACACGAGCTCTTCCCTGTCCTCCCCTGCTGGGGAGGGAACCGCGGTTCCTGGCCCACAGGGGCCCTCGGCAGGCGTCTCATGTTCTGCTCGTCCACTTATTGGGTGAGTCGGCCGGGTCCAAGCTCAGGCTCCAGACACAGGCTCTGAGGATGAAGGCCCCAGAGAAGAGCAAGGGGGCGTGGCCAAGGGAAGGCTGGAGGGGTCGGTGCCAGCCCTGTGAGGTGTGTGTGGTGGCACATCCAGACCCACCCGGAAGGTGGACACTCTGCAGCCCCAGCTCTGCCGGGGACATGCTGGTCCTAGAAGCTGGGCGAGTGGGGGAGGCAGGCATCGCAGTGTGCCGGGCGGGCGGGGCGGGGCCGGGCGGGGCTGGCAGGAGTTTTCTGGGTCTGGGGAGAGGCCAGGGCTTCTCAGGAGCCGTCGCGTCACAGGGACCCAGGCTGCCCGGTGCTGTGAGGAGGGGGCA